AGACACTGTCACAGCGAGAAGGGCCCGGGCGGGGATGGCAGGTGGGGTGGGAAAGCAGGGGGACCTGCAGGCCAGGCGGGTCCCTAGCTCGGCTACACTAAGGGGAGTCTCCGCATGCCCGCGCCCTGCCACCTGGCTGCAGAGGACACGCTGCTGCTGCAGAGCCCAGTTCAATGGCTCGGGGGGCAGGTGGTTGAAGGGGACGCACGCCTCTCATAGGCCCTGCTCCGTGACACATCAAGGCTCCCGAGATTCATCCAACTGCAGACAACTGAAATTTTCAGTCTACCCAGCTCCACAGTAATGAATGAAACGTGTTCACGGACGGAAGGCCCGAGAAAGGCTCATGGCCACCTTCCCTGAAGGTTATGAAGGAACCTTTCCTTAAAGGGGCAGAATCTGTGCATAAAAATCTACAGTTGCCTCCCGGTGCCGGTCCCACCACGTGGGCTCATGTGGAAGCCACCCCGGCGTCTCCCTGCTGGCCACCCTAACCACTGAGGAAGCCCTGGTCCGGCTCAGCCCCCATGTGTGTGGCTCATTCAGTTGAGAGCAATCCACCGGCACAATGACAGAAACAGCTCTGGGGACCCTGGGGCCGGCCCTTCCTCAGTAACGGCCTGTTCTACCCTCAGCACAGAACCACCCATGAGCTGAAGGCCCATGGGGGCCTCCACAGCAGTTCTGTCGCTGTCTTTGGGAGGACAACTATTCCTTAAAGTACCCTGTCCAGTGTCAACATCAACACGGACACAGGCATGTACCGGGCCTGTTTCCCTGTCTGCTGTCACCTCTGTACCAGGAGGAAGCAGGTTCCTGTGCTCACTGCAGAGTGAGTGCATTTCTGACCATCACCTACAGGTGAGAAGTACAGGCCCGACTTCCTGGAGAAACATGGGAATCTGCAGCAGCAGCAGGACTCAGGTCTGCAGGACATTCCTCCCAGCTGGAGAGCCGCGGGTGAGGAATCGGCGTGGGCCAGGACACGGTGAGGGGAGGGGCGGGGCTCCTGGAGATCTACATCTGACCCTCAGCGCACTGAAGAAGTTAGAGGAGCTTAAAGGAGGTTGGGGGAAGTTTTTGTTTTTTTAATGTGAAAACATCAGGCTCACTATAGCTTCCAAAGGGCAACGGACATGAGCATAACAAGTCACATGATGACAGTATCAGAAATTGCACTCAGGTACCCCCAACACGACGCATTGCACACAGTAAAAATCTGTAACACAAAAGCGAAACACAGTCGGGCACGCTGAGAAATATTAACACGGAGCACACACTGGAATTCATAGCAAAGATGCAAAACTGAATTCTAAAATAAGTGAGTGAATTCAACTAAGAAGTTCTCAGATTTTTCTACAATTAATAAAAAAATTGTAAGATGCCCTGTGTGGGAAGTCAAGAGAATAAATAGGACTGAAGGAGGGAAAAGATGGAAACCAGTTGGGAGGGGGTCCCAATGTACACGAAATATTTACATTCAGAATTCAAAAGAACTCCACATTTCTATATACACACACTATGTACATATGTACAAGCACAGCATAAAATTAGAAGGGGGGGGGTTAGAATTCACATCAAGGACCGAGAGAGAAGAAAAAAAAGACCAGCTTGAGCTGCAGGCACCTAGATGTGCTTCCTTCCCTTACATGCCCTTAGAAGATGCTCCATTTGTTAGACACTGGCCACCAATGAGGGTTTCTGCAAATAGATTTTGCTCGCAGCTGTGGCCAGGTAGGCATGGATGGTGAGCTACATGGACTGCGAGCAGCCAAGCGTGCACACGGGTGTGGTGTTATTGGGGAGACCCCAGACATAGGGAGGGGGGTCTGCAAGTGCCCCTCATCAGTGGCTGCCGCTGCCTGCTTGAAGCTTGAACTAACCAAACGCATGCTAACTGGATCCGTGTAACAGCAACTCTCAGGCAGCACGGTTCTTAGAAACTACCAAATACCACTCAGGTACGTTGTGAAAATGAGAGTCTGGATAGGTATCTTTCTCTTAATCTTGTACCAAGAAAAGGATCCCACAGGGAAAATACCTGGCCTCCGCTACTTCCATCAACTGAGATGCACCAGTCATTTCTGTTCTATCACTTGCTAAACTGGAAGGGGGAGGGGGAGGGG